TATGTAAGAGAAGAAACATCTCAGCTTCAAAGTTTATAAGTAATTCTATATATTTTTGTTATAATTTTATATATATATAAACTTCTATATATAAAATATATGACAAATCAGATGACTGATATAGAACCGCGTTGCATTACACTATAATAATTCTTCAGTTTACTGGAGAATTATTAATTAAAGAAGTTTATAAACTATAAATGTATACAAAAAAGGATTTATTATTAATGCTATAATAAATTTAAGTTCAAATCAATCAAAAACTCAATGCGAATAAATTATTAACAAAGCTGTCTCTATTCTTTATTTATTATATTTGAAAAGTAATTAAAACAATTCTGTCTTATTTTAGTTATAGTGACTTTTATTAAAGATGCAACATGACCCTTGCACATATTATTGCTCTACTACTTAAGTTACTCAGGTAATTAATTTGCGTTAGCCAAAAAAAAGTTATTTTATAAATCTGAACCATGTTTTGAAACTTAAACTGAACCAAACCAGGCTCTATAACTAGGTTCTGAACTTAGTTTAACCAAACCAGTTCCAGAACTAGGTTCTAAAATTTAGTTTAATCAAACCAGATTCCAGAACCAGGTTTTGAACTTAGTCTAAACCAAACCAGGTTTGGGACCTAGGTTTTAAAAACCAAGTTTTTAAAAACCTAAAGGTTTTGAAACCAAAACCAAACCTAAACCAACCTAACCATTCCTAGGTTCAGGAACCAGGTTTAGGAACCAGGTTTTGGAACCAGGTTTTGGAACTTTTTAAAAACCAGGTTCTTAGGTTTTTGAAATAAAACCTAAAGGTTCCAAACCAAAAACCAAACCTAAACCAACCTAACCATCCCTAATTAACTATCCAATAATGTATACTTATACTACAATTAAAGTCAGCTACAATTGTGATAAAAAAACAAATACAAACCAATTAAATTGCGAATAATTGCCATTGCCACTTGGGTGTGATGAACCATTGTATGCGACAATACGGATTACTAATTAATTGTATTAGTGAATCCTTATGTGTCATGCAAATGATTCATCACACCTAAAATTGCAATTGACTCATTGTGCTGCGCAACTAATCAAAATTAATTGAGTTCAAAAAATTGTAATTATGATAATTGCCTCTACAATTAATTATTCGGTAGGCCTGCCGTGAAATCTCAAAAATTATTCCGCAGTACGGGCATAGAAACCGTGAAATGTATCAGATATTTGATGTGCGCCGTGAAAATGTATTACCATATTTCGCCGTGCTAATCCATGAAATTCACAACGACCCATAATATCTATTGAAAATCATATAAAAATTACAAACTAATAAAATTATTAACTACTAACTGATACGTATAAACAATTTTTAATTCAAATAACAAACATTTCTTATTTTATCACTTTTAAAATTATATTCAATTAATTGTAACATTTTTTAATTACTCGCATTGTAAAATAAATTATTAAGTCTAGCATATTAGTACGTGCAAATAAAAATTGTATAGGAAGATCTCAACAGAATTATGGTCTACAAAGCAAATTGTGCTTAAAATCACTACGCTAAAGTCGTAACCCATTCATGAAATGCGATAGACATAATTGGCTGGTATTGCCTAATGCCGGCCCAGTTCTGATATTTTACCGAGCATTCCATCACAAAGAATAACGATTACTATTTAAAATCTACTGATGATTAACGCTAGTAATAATAAGACTGGATGAAACACGCGTTGTAAATTAGTAAAACGTAGACTACGTCGGGGTGAAATCCGCGTTTAGCTATGTTTTTGATTGTGCAAAGCGGATTTCACCCTCATGTGATCTACATACGGATTTTACTAATTCCAGAATTCACAGAGTGAGTTTCATCTTAATAATTACTAACGCTAATCATCCGTGGATTTAAATGTTAGCCGCCATTTTATGATTTTGTGATGGGGTGCTCTGAGAAGTAATTGTCGATGAAGTAACACGTATCCAATGAACTCTAATCCGGAATTGTAATAATTGAACACAAAAATTATTAGTTATATCTCTTAAAATTACTAAATACTTAACGTTAATGCATGTATGTAAGAAGATCCAGTTTC